AACTCAATGATATTTGAGCAATTAGCAATTATAATTCGAAAGTGATATTTGAACTAACTATTACTCTTGCAATTGATTAAAGACCGAAGTTAGATTTAAATTTTTAATAATCGCAAAAGAAAGTGTTGACAAAAACGATAAAAAATTTCAATTTTATTCAACATTAATCAAACAGCACAATTTATGATATCGCTATGAATGTACCAAATGTATTAAATTTATAAATCGACAAAAACGTGGGAATCCTGACAGCGGCCGGCCTGATAACACTAATGCGACGAGCATCGAAAGCACAAATAACAATATGAATGATCAAATTAGCATGCTTTTCATTGTTGTGAACTTTTCTAAAAATTATAGATGAATCAACGATGAGACTGCATATTTTGATGTTAATATTTTAACAAGTCAAGGTGCAATTTGGTAAACTTCAAAATTGCATTTTACAAATTTTATGGTAGCAAAATAAAATTGAAAACTGAATGAAATTGTAGGATGCACAGCAAATACAATACAATTTCGGCTGAATCTCCTTTCCTTTAAGACCTGAATAATCTTTACTCTATGCAAATGCGCTACAACTGTAAAAAATTTTTTGGCAGTGAATTCTATTAAAATATTCAGCAAAAGTTTTTTTTTTCAAATTGTTATAATTTTCTGAGTTCGAAATTGACTTACCCGCTTGGAGTACTTCGGTGAACCGAGGATGGAGACTGAAACAGGCAGCAACAGGTCGGCCGCGTGGGGAAGGCCCGGTGGAATCATTGGCCTGAAATAAAAATTCACTCATTAAAAAAAATTATGTGATCAATTCCATTTTTAATAACATCCAAGCTTTCAAATTTCATTTCTTACTAATATTGCTAATTTCCTACCTGGAATGAAGAGGTAACTTGAACCCTCTTCTCTCCCCACAAGATCGAGTCAGCGTCGCTTCACCTGCCTTTCATTGATTACGGCTGCACTTGACCTCGGGCACCACTCGAGGTTATGCAGCTCCAACGCTGCGACCTTC